AATAGTAATAGTAATAATAATAATAATAATAATAATAATAATAATAATAATAATAATAATAATAATAATAATAATAATAAAGAAAAACAAAAACAAAAAAAAACCTTTTCTTTTTGCTTTAAAACATAAAGGAGAGAAACGAGAGATTTGGTGGCCTATGGGATATAACTTATGCATAAAATCAGACGTTTTGGAAAAAAAAAAAAGGCAAACAATACAGTGTAAATATGCATAGTCACTGACTACCTGTGTTTGGAGCCATGTCTGTTTGTGTACGCGTGTCTCAGCGGGTTTATATCGTATATATTCCCCTTTAGTGCAGAGAAAAAAAAAGACAGACAAGCAGAGGAAAAAAAAAAAAAAAACACCATGGAAAAAAGAGGGTGGAATTACAATGCAAAAGAAAAAAAAAAGAAGTAATGGTAGACACACTGTGTTGTAAACACCTAAGAAAGGAAAATTGGTCGATTTTGGCGAATATATATATATATATATATATATATATATATTCTGAGTACCATAAACACATACGCACACACCTGCACACAGTTTTTTTCCTTGCAAATGAAATCATTCTTCTTCTTATTTTTTTGCGAACTACTACATCCTTGCCTTCTCGTTATCCATTGCTCAATAGAACACAACTACAGCGAATTAAACTCGTATTCAGTCAAAAAATGTTTCATTTATCCGTGTTTTATTTTCGGACTGTTGAAGATAATCAGACTATTGAGTAGAGCGAGAAATGAAAAGTCATCACATCTTTCTCTAGCAGAAGAAAAAAAAAAAAAAACGAAAAATATGACTGTGATGATAAAGGGAAAACCCCAAACGAATGAACCATCAGGGAGGTAGAAAAACAACACACACACACACACATAGAAAAAGAAAAAAAAAAAAAAACACTTGATTTCTCTATTATTTTGCGTTTTCATTATTCTTTACTTTTTCCCACAGTCCCTTTAACACTCACACCCCACACATTGTCATCAAAGAACAAACATGTGAATGGAGTATTTAAGGCACTCCTTTTGTAATTATCTTTACAAAAAGAAGAAAAAACAAAACACATCAAAAGCATTCACACATTTCAACTTACATGAGACCACAAAAACAATCTGAACATATACCTTTTTTTACTTCACTCTTTTTTGTAGTCTGTTTCGCCGTATTGGGTCTTGACGTACGAGCTGGTGTAGCTGAAGAAGATTTGACCTGATTAGATGCAGGAGAAGTCATTAAAGATGAGAGTCGCGACATATTGGCTTCTGCAACTTCATTTCGTTTCTGCAGTTTTAGAAGAGCCTCTTCACGCTCTATCGCCGCTTCTTCCGCATTACGATAACCACAGTCTACAAGTACTGTAAGGTATAGATAATCATGCATCATTTTCATTTTTGCTGCGTTGCTCAACATAGAACGTACGTCACATTCGGGTTTACCCGATTTCTTCTCATAATAGTTATAATCTGATTCTTTAGGAAAAAGACGACGGTCCACTGTTCCTCTTTGCTCTCCAACTGAAGGTCGCTTTGGTGTTTGACTACCAGCAATAATTGGTTCATGATCACTTCCTCCAACAGATACTTGGTCTGGTAAGAATATTTCCTTTGGTAAGGGTATTTCCAACATGGAACAACATTCCGCCACAAACTGGAGATGTTGTTCACGATCACGCTTAATAAGTCGTCTCACATGTGGTGATAATAACACTTGTTGAGCTACATCATGTTGTGCTGCTTCAATCATTCCAGTTTTTTTATTACCCGTTGTATGAAGTAACTGTAAAGATGGATGTTGAATCGCTTCCTCTGCTGATAATCGTCTATTTGGATTGACATCCAAAAGTTGGCTTAATAAATGACGGAGGCTTGAGGGAGGAAATGGTGCTGATGATCTTGTTCTTGGAGATACTGGCATTCCATTAGTATGATAACTTTGATTCTCCCCTTTAACTTCACTATCGCATGGCTCTGGAACGTGGCTAAGATCCATAGCTGCAGACTGTGCAGCAATTCTGCGGTATAGTTGATATTTACTTCGTCCATCTGCCTTATCACCCCAAGGAGCACGACCTACAAGCAAATAGTAAAGAATTACACCACAACTCCACATATCATTCTTCATTGCATTTACTTTCACTTGAGATTCATCCTTTTTCAAATCTTCATCATCACATGCACAATAAAAATATCTGCAAACTTCTGGAGAGAGAAACATTGGGGTTCCTTGATCATTATATTCTGGTGAGACACTTCCAAGATCTGTAATCTTAATAACTCCATCTGCGTAAAGTAGAATATTTTGCGGTTTCAGATCATTATGTGCTAATCCTTGACGATGCAAGTAAACAACACCATAAAGAAGTTGATACATTACCCCTTTAATCAGAGCAGCGGAAAAAGTAGTACTAATAGGATCATCAATACCTTGTGATCGAAATATATTAGTCAAACTATCTCCCATACTTAAGTAACTCGGAGTCGAAATTTCAAATGTTAACTCTGTGACAAGAGGTGTTCCTTTACTATTTAAATGTTGTTGAAATGCTTCATGACAAAGATTTTCCATTATTAGTTGATCCAAATTACAAATTGCAATAGGGAGAACAACATAATCTTTCCCATCACGAGTAAATATATCAATAGCTCTAATAATATTGGGACAGTGAAATCTCTGTAAATTTGCAGCTTCATCATCAAGCATTCGTTGCATTTTTTTGTCATAACGTTGTTTGGAACTTGGAATTGGAGGTTTTGAAAATGATTGTGATTCATTCTTTGAGTTAGATGTTGAATTCCCACTTGTAGGCTTTTTTCCCTCTGCTGCGGGTAATGCACCTCCTTCAGGGACAATTTCTCTACGGTATTTAAAACTCTTAATTGCAACACGTTGAAATTGTGGAGGAATCATATGATTAGCTGAGGTATCAATGGCATCACGTACTACACCAAAAGCACCTTCACCAAGTAATGGTCCGAGAATATAGTAACTAATTCGTTTCAAATGTTTTTTTCGCTGAATTTGTCCTGCATAATTTAACGTAACTGGGAAAGGACTTGGTGTGTCAGCAGTATCAACAGAGTCACAAACCCCATGTGTAGGTGTTGCTCTTTTCAATTGATGTAAACGAGATACAACAGAAGGAGGTATATCATTTGGAGATGCTGGCTCTGAACCAGAACCTTCTGAAGCATATACATCGCAAATAAGACCATTCTTTTCCTTGTTAACCTTTGGGCTATTTCCGTTGCGAGATGACAAACCACTTAGTTCAGTCGGGAGATAACTACCTGATAATGGAGTTGGACTTCTGTTTGCACTTCTTGGAGTCAAGCGATTTTTTGTAGAAAGGTTTAAGAGACGAATTTTTGGGCCACTTTCCTCGAAATTCTCTAAATCAAACGGCATTTGCGGCGAACGATTTTGACGGTGTCTGAATGTAGACCCAAAAACACCACTTCCAGACAATAGACTGTTATGAGTTTCTTTGAGGGTATTATTTTTTTCTTCAGGATAGGAAATCGATGTAGACAAAGTATCTACAGAGATATCTTTTTTCTTACTACTAGATTTATCTGAAGTTTCATCAGATTCCCAAGAGCCAGAATGCTCTCCTTTGAATAATGACATCATACTACTTTGAAACACATTAGGTTTTTTTTCTTCTTTACATACAGTTGATGATCTTAGTGGTAACTCTTCTTCACTTTCTTGAACTGAACGTGTAAGTAGAGTAGAGGAATTCTTTTCCTTCTCAGTCAATAAACTTGTCATATTACTATCAATAAAATCTGTGATAGGGGGGTCCACTGGACGCCTTTTCATAATGATCGGTCGTCTCCTCTCTTCCCCTTCATCACTAACAGAATTCTCTACTCGTAATTCTTCATCAGGTGCATTAACTGGAGAAATAGGTGCATTTCCTTGCACTGGACGTGGTACAATTATTCTTTTCATTTTTGGTTTATTAATAAATATATAGGTGGAACCTCTACGTTTATACTTTGATGATAACCAAGTAGAAAGGGGGGTTGTTTCTGCGTAGATGTCGACAAGGTCAAGATCCGAATGCATACAAAACAAAAACCAAGAAAAAAAAAAAAGTGGTAGAAATTAATATTCCCAAGCACTTTTCTGTAGCGGTTTAGCCGCTCACAGGCACCAAGGGAACCAGGGCCAAACTATGTTATTAAACCGTATTTCTTGCCTATTAATTCCACTTTTTTTTCTTTTTATCCCTTCATTTTACAAAAAAAAAAAAA